AGGAGGTATATGATGGCATTCTCAACCAACTACAGATTCTGCACACAGGCCCAAACCAGTCTGGTTGTTTGACATGCTTTCAGCGCGACCTGTACGCTCTTTCCTTGACTTGTCGAGTATGGGAAAGAGTTGTTCGAGCCAAACTGTGAGTGAATTCGACCACAGCTATTTGATGGTCTTGAAACGCTGACGAGGTTTGCCATGAAGCTATACTCGCATCCACATTATCGGAAATGATTCTCCTGCTCAGCTGAAAAAATATCGGATGAAAAGGGGCAGCCGCCTAAAACTTCTAAGACGGACCCTACGCGAAAGGAAATCGTTAGCCAACCTTGTCCTGGAGCTTCGTGTTCCGCAGATGGACCTTCTCTTCACAACAAGCAAGCACAGCAACCAATGGCAAGAATACCGAGACCTCGTCGCCTCCGTCGTAATGGTGTGCCCCAACCTGGAACGGTTGTTGGGTTTGACCATCGCGTACAACCATGAGTTCGATCGTCTGACCCATGCACTATCGACACGGAAGAAGCTCAAGGAACACACGTGGATCCTGGGGGAGGGGCCGGAGGTCTCCGAAGAAGATTCTCCGCGCAACACTTCTTGCCCGGGCAGCTTGGGTCCTCTGCAGATGTTCGAGTTTCTGGATTACCACTCTTCCTGGTCAAATCTGGATACTCTAATGCTCTATGCGCTGAACGGAAAAAGTGCCCTCGAGCCGAGCATCTTTCTTCGCATGTTCCACCTATTGCCCTCGCTGCGTCATCTTTGCATCTCATCCTTTGATGCTGATGCATTCGCGGATAGTGCTTTGCTGTGTCTACCGCCTCTAGAGTCGCTTCGGCTGGAAAGCCTGCCAGGTATCACTGATACCGGCCTCTCACAGTACACCTCCCGCCCGGAGTCTGGCTCGCTAAAGTCCCTGGCTCTCGTTGAACAGAACATTCAATCCTTGCTTGTAATCTCAAAGATTTTAGCCTCGCTTAGAAATCTAGAGCGTCTCAAGATCGTGCAGACCAACCATTGTCCGACGTTGAATGCCGACGGGATTGTTTTTCAGCCGCTGTTCGCGTCGTCCAGTCTCAAGCATCTGCATTGGGACGTCGCTTGTCCCAACCCGAATACTGCCCTGACGAGACTAGACTGTGCCCCATTCGCCAAGCCACCAAAGCATATTAACACACCGAACTCTCATCTGGCTCAAAGCATTCTCTGCTCGGGTTTCCCCCGTCTGGAGACCCTTCGAGCACCCTCAGATATAGAGCCTCCAGGAATTCTCCAGGCTGTCTGCCAGCCGATTCCTAGAGGGCAGGCCCTGATCAATTCTGACCGATACAGCCTGCCTCGGAGCTCTCATGGCTCTGTTAATACCCGCCCATTGGCCCTCCCAGCGGGCAACAATTTAACGTCGGCACGGATACGGGCGCAGACCTTCATTGACATGGCTGCCAAGGATACGGAAACCGGAATGCAAGTTCTCATCACTGATCACTCAGATTCGTACGTACCCGACAATGCCTTGGAGGACGCTTCAGATGATGAGCCTGGCCCAGACATGGACCAATACGGATGGCCGTCTCCTGGTGGGAGGGCAAAGGAAGAGCGCAATGGCCCAGTCACGGTGTTCAACTTCCGTATGCCAGCGTACATGGGCAGGGTGGGTAGTAGAACTACGGAGAAAGATGTCTCAATACCACGGTTCATACTCCGCCCCGACCTACCTGGTCAGGATGCAGATGGCGGCCTCATTGGATGGAAGCACATCCTTGCCTCAAACCAGTCGTTGACCTACGCTGCCGGAGTCGGGGTCAACTGTTTCGGCAGCAAAGGTAGCCTGATTCCCCCTCCCCCTCCTGAGGAATCGCCGCCATCCCCAGCTTCCACGACTGCCACGAGATTTGGATGGGGCAGCATTGGTAGTCGCTCAGCGTCGGGAACAAGCCCTATCACGCCTACGACCCCGTCTACTCCCATGAGCCTGACGTCTCCAACCGGGCTTCCCTGGGACAAGGATACCTGTACTGGATCCTGGAATTACAGTCACAAGAAAGGCAGGGACTGGTGGTTCCATATGGAACGCGACCGTCCAGGAAGTGTCGAAACCGTTGACGTCAAAGGCCTCTTCTGACTGAGCACTCTACGATGCGATGCTTTACCTGATGCAGTACTATACCACGATGCAACATGTACTCCGCATCTTTCCTTTTCTGTCTCAAACCCAGCAGCATACAATGGAACAAAGTCATATGGATTTACGTGCAAGCACGACGGCGTTCATCGGTTGATTTATCTCGATTTTACCTCATCGGTGGAAATCGACACCGACCATCGACATGGTTCGGACGAGCTGTTTCTCCTTTATTTTATCATGGACACATACATGCATATCTACTCGCATGTTGGATGGAATTTCGACTTCATGTCTGGACATGTATCTTTTCTCCATTCTCCCTCCTCGTTTATGAGTAAGGAGGCTAATATCTCTGAATTTCGTAAGGCGCTGCTGGAGTCTCATTCGACTGGATATATATATTCCCCTTCAGTGTCCCTGTTTGGCTTTCCTCCTGCTTTCATCCATTCGGGGGCTTTCCTGTCTTACTCGTGATTGATGAGCATACTCTGTACAGCACTGAGTCCAACTTCTACACAAGTCATGGTCGGATACCTTATACATAACGTGTATTTCGCTTAATAAAACCAGATAAAAGAGATCCGAAAGACATGCGTCGGTGCCACATGGTTCCAACACTACGTATCTTCTTGCCAGATATTCACCCCAGGATCATGAGAATTATTCATACCATTATGGCTGTTTATTTATCTGCCAAACAGATCCCAAAAACATCGCAAAATAATAAGAAACGAGCATGGTTGCATGCATACTGATGACAGGCTCTGAACGACTTAGGGACGGAAATACACGGCCTCCAAGGTAGGTGGAAAGGGATTTAGACAAGAGGAACAGCGTTAATTATGTAATATCTCTAGACATAGATACCCATGTTTGTATCCTTCTTCTTGGCCTGGACTTCAGCGATAGCATCCACGTAGTTCTCGTGTCCGACCTTGCTCATGCCTTTCCTGAGAGCAATCATACCCGCTTCTACACAGACGGCCTTCAGCTGCGCACCGCCGAATTCATCGGTACTTCGAGCCAGTTCGGCCCAGTTGACGCCGTCATCCACAGCCATCTTGCGTGAGTGGATCTGCAGGATGTTTGCCCGTGCCTCCTCGTTCGGTAGAGGGAATTCGATCTTGCGGTCCAATCGACCGGAACGGAGCAGAGCGGGATCAAGGACATCAATACGGTTTGTTGCGGCCAGGACCTTGATACGATCATCCGAAGCAAATCCATCAAGCTGGTTTAGAAGCTCCAACATGGTCCGTTGCACCTCACGGTCACCGGACTTCTCGGAGTCGAAACGCTTGGTACCCACAGCGTCGAGTTCGTCAATGAAAATGATCGAAGGAGCCTTCTCTTTGGCGAGAGCGAAGCAGTCCCGGACCAGCTTGGCACCGTCACCGATGAACATCTGCACCAGCTGAGGCCCAGCAAGCTTGAGGAAAGTAGCGTTTGTCTCTGCGGCGCAAGCTCGCGCAAGAAGGGTTTTACCGGTACCAGGAGGACCGTACATCAGAGCACCTGCAGAAGAGAAGACATGTGTTAGGGATGCTGGCCGAACGGCAACTAAGCAGGGTTCGAAAAAAGACGGTTGACATACCCTTTGGTGCCTTGATACCGATCTTCGTGAATCGCTCTGCCTCCTTCATCGGCCATACAATGGCTTCCACGATCTCCTCAATCTGCTTGTCCAAACCACCGATGTCCGTGTACTTCTCTGTCGGCTTCTCGTCGACCTCCATGGCCTTCACACGATTGTCATACTCGGCAGGTAGTGTATCCAAAATCAGATATGAATCCTTATTGACACCGATCAAATCAGCAGGCTTGAGCTTCTCGTGATCTACCAGACCGATGAGAGGAAGGTAGATAGTCTGTCTGGTCGATGTTTTGATGACAGCGGACTTGCCCACTCGGGTAGCGTCAAGATCGATGTTGGCTCCTTCTTCGGCGGCCTCTGCCTCAACATCCAGATCCAAAAGTTCGACGACGTTTCCGACGAGGTATGGTAGTTGTCTGTGAATAAAATTGTTCAGAAGAGTGATCAAACGCTTTCAGATAAATCCCAGTGATAGACCTGTAACATCGCCACCGCTCCGGTGTTCCGGGAATAAATGGCAGTAGGGCAGAGCTGAAGTGGATAGGGTGACAAGCATGTCGTACCTGTTGTTCTCAATTTTCTCCTGGTTATCCCTCACCTTCTCCCGCATAGTATTCTGTTCATGTGTCAATCGTTGGTACTCGCTCTTCATTATGCGGAGCTCATTCTCCAACATCCGTCGCCGCTTGACAATGTCTGCTGTGCTCGAGTTGAGAATCTCCTCATCCAGTAAATCATCTTCTTCATCCTTTTTCTTCGCATCAGCATCTTTCATTTCAGCATCTCCATCTCCTCCAGGCTGCTGGCCATCACCATCGCCCTGGTCCTTCTTCTTGTCTCTCTGCTCGCGTTCGAGATCCTCCAGATCTTCAAGGGTCGACATGGTAACAGGGGAAATGTGGGAGTATGTGAGCTAATTGAACTTGCGAATCAAAGGGTAAGAGTGTGTGCAATCGAGAGAAAAAAAAAGGTTGGGAGTTTGAGATGAAAGGTGGGAGGGTTGAAGCTGTCCTCGCGATGCTCTGAGCTCCAACCAAACGTCAGCTGCTCTGCCTACATCACGTGACTGATATCTACCAGCATTCTCCACGATTGTCTCCGCTCATCGCCATCCGAGGACTTTGGGCTGAATTTCATTGCTTTTTTATCTGATATGTACGCCTAACAGCACATCTTATGTTACATTTCCGACAACATAGCCTTCCCAACTAGGGGCTTCCCAAGCGTTCCATGATGGTTGACCTTTAGTCGTCCTGTAGCAAGGAAACTTGGGCTCTCCGCTTACAGCAGCAGATTGGGATTACCCTTAAAGTAAGCAAGGTTACCCAGATTGTCGATAACCTTTTCTCTTCCATATTTCAGAAGCCGATAACGTGAGATGAAGTCGTCGTTGTTGACTAATAAAGTGTTAGTAAGAGAAAGTACTGTCATAGAGTCAGTAGAAAGAAAGTTAGGAGTATAACATACTATATCCACCACACATCCGCCGCTTGCCAGTGAACTCGGAACGACCATGAAGCATTCTCCAGTTGTCGAAAACTAGAAGTCTAATTAGCCTAGTCCCTCAAAATGGCGCTTAAGCACTTACTGAGGGCAGTTCCGGGCTGAAGCTGTGTCCATATTTCTACGCCCGGGCGCTGGATAATATTGTTAAAATGGCGTGCTGCGTTATACCATCGGTTCTGCTCCTTCAATCCCCAGTTTCGTTTCGCTGCTCGATCGTAGTTGTTCCATCGAACTTGGTACAGTCGGCTCAACTCGGGATGAATTTTGAAGACAGGGGCCTGCTCTGCGGGTTGTATGCATACGTCCTCATTTCCACTTGAGTGGTATGGTTGTTTGGTAGCGGCAAGGACTCCGCAGTGTTTTGGATTTTCTTGTCGCATGATGGAGGCAGCCTTGAAACCGTCTACAAGCAAGCTGGCCCCGCCATGGCCATCTGTGTGCGACAAAAGGTGGAAGAGTTGAAGTCTAGCCGGGTCAGTGAAATATGTGTTGTCTGTATGCGCGCCTAGGAATTCCGTGGTGTAGGCAGTATCCTTGAAGGTCAAGTCCGATGTAAAGTCCCAGAAACCGCCTTTGATGTATTAGTAGGGTATTCTTCGTGTAGAAAAGTTGAAGGTGACAATAGCCTGCGGGGAGAATGTATTACCGTAATGAGTGTGTCTGATAAAGGCAATCCGCTCGAGAAGTGCCTTGGTTGATTCAGGATCCACAGGGACTCCTTTCACAAAACAGAAACCCCATTTGTACTTGACTGGCGTGAGCTGCTGAGCATATATTCAGTGAAGGAGGAACTCACAATCTCATCAAGCCATGCTAACAACGCGGCGTCGTCAGACATAACTTTGGAGTACTCGACTTCAGGGTAAGAGTCTTGATCAGGATTGTAGGATGAGAATTCTCTAGCGATGACGGGTCAATGGAATTCGATAATTTACAGAATGAAGGTAATACGAACCTGAACTTGAACGGCGCAGAGAATGTTTTCCTCTCGGTGGTGAGGTTGACATGACTATTTAACCATGAATATGGATATAGTCCCTTATGTTCATCAGAGACTTAGACTAAGTTAGCCTCTTGTCCACTGGCCTAACGTTTGTAAACTCACAGAGTACTTCAACGACGTTAGGACCGTATATGATGTCTTTAGCATTGACCGCAGGGTGTATCTAAAATGCAAACAGGTGAAAGACGATTAGCAACTACATAGGCAGCCAAAAGGAACGGCAAGTCGTACCGAGAAAGTATCCACGGATCTTTGCTTCGTCTCTGGATGGAGGCACAATGGACACTGGCAATTTTCCCTGAAGGTGCAAAAAAGCACTGTGAGCGTCAATAACGAATGCAGCGAATACTAGTCAGCTCACCTGAGGAAAAACGGTCCACTATAAGCTATCAGCAAGTGGTCTCCTCTCGAACATAAAGGCGAAAGCTATATGATATATGGGTTGACTTACAACTCCCCGTAACGAGTCACATTTGATCCAAGAGGACCTAAGCGCACTGAAACAAATCGTCTCGCAGCATTCTTCGGTATTGAATCGAACTCCGCATTGGTCTTCCTGTCAGCTGTCTCTGAATCGGTTGTGGAGGCCTCGTTTGTGGTCGCCGTCAAATTCTCCTTTCCATTAATACACGCTGTACCGTCTCCATCTCCCAATGTGTTTCCGTTGGCCTCTGTCGAAGATGTCTTGTTCACAGGCTCTGCTGATGGAGATTTCCTTTCATCCGTCGCTGAGGTCTCGGCTGCAGGCGTCGTTGAGGTCTTCTTTGCACTCTCTGAGAAAGTGTCTGAAGAAATCTGCTTCTCCTGCGCAGACGTTGTCTCGTTTTCAGGCGGAATGCTTGAGTAACGGCGGATGGGCACGGGTTGCCGATTCAGGGCCAAAGGGCGGACTGCGTTTGGCAGGCCCCTGGAGCCGACCGCCTGAATTGCCGGGTTAGTAAGGTAGCGACATGACTGATTCGCGAGATTGTGACTGATTCGAGGCTGAGAGTTACGTCGATTGCATACCAAACGCGTGTACTTCGTAGTAAGTCCGATCCTAAAATGCCTTGCGCTAACTGTCGCATTAGTCCATGTTACGAAAAAAGAGCCGTCCAAAAGGTATTACCAGACATGATTCAAGGCTCGGGGTGCCCTGAGCGAGGTATAAGGGTTCATCCTTGTAGATGCTTCCGCAGTAGCTACAAAGTGAGGTGCTAGTCGGGAAGAAAGATGTCTTTTCTCCGCATCTTGATGCTTATCTGGGGCAAAGCCCCCAATTAGATCACGTGTGTTTATTTGGAGACAACGAGTTATCAACTCTGACAATGCAAATACCTGTGATGTGTATGAAATTTTCTATCATCGAGGTACTAGTCTACGGTATTTTAGATGATTGAGACTGAAGCCTGACCAGGTCACTACGACTCATGTCCTCCGAGCTTCTATGTTTGATCTAAATCTCAGCCGAGGAACTTTACAAAATTGTTAGCTCCGCTTCTCATAAACTCACGATCGTATCGCCCATAGAACAAGGCATGAACACCCCTCCTTAGGTGCGTGTTTCTTCAGACTTTCCTCAATTCGAGTGGGCCAAGGAGAAGATTACCCGAGCCAAATGGAAGGAAAAGAAGAGTATGGATGTAAAAAGTAGATGATAGGTCAAAACAATCTAAGGAACACGTCGGAGGTGGCTGGACTGAGCGTCAACTCGGGGTATCTACTTGAAAAAATTCGAGGAGCTTCAAAAAGTCTCGTGCAAAATCAGTCTCTCCGTTCGCGCCAAGTAATGTGCCGGTCCCCTGCCATCCAATACAACGCCGAAAAACAAGAACGAAGGACGAAAGAGACCATTCAACGACCCAGAGTCCATAGAAGTAACCTTTCATATATGCAATAATGCGGCCTTACAAGGCGAAGATTTCGTTTCGTTTGACAGCATGCGATCTGTCCTCAAATAAAACGGTAGAAAAATGTTTATCAAGCAAGTATCACAAGAGATTGATGGTTTAGCACCTGCGAAGAATTAGCGCTGAAGTGCTGGAGTTCCCGCTAGGAATGACCTACATCCTGTAAAAGCAGTTGCCCTCGGCATAGCGCAACTTGTCCGCGGTCTCAAGTTTGTAAGAAAGCTGGATGTCTAGATCACGAGGGTTCTTATCGTTTGGCTTGTTCTCCAAGATACCGGACACAGACTCCTCTTCTTCAACTGTGAGAACATCGCGGAGATAGAACACAGTTTGCTTCCAGTGTGTGTACTTGGCGTGAGGCCCAGTGGAGAAGCTGATGGGTTTGTGGCAAGCAGTGAAATCAATGTCGAACCACGCAATGATGGCGTGAATGAAATCGCTGCGCTTGACGGGAAGTGAGAAAGGAACCCTGAACGACAAGTCTGCTTTGGTGACCGTGTAAAGATCGAAAGTAATAATAGAACAAGGATCCGAGACCAGAGCCTTAAGCTCGACGGTATCCACAAGGGGCTCCGTAAGGGCAATCTCCTTCATGGGGCTGTAATCGAATCCGTAAACATTATCCCAGACTATACGGAATTAGTACTCCCTTAAAAGCCTAAAATAAGCGAGGGATCTCTCACATCCGATCTTGTCATCCTTGTACTCGCCATCTTCAATCGCAGCCAAGTACATGGTGGCCTTGTCAGGGAAGATCTTGCCGCCAGGAGCAAGGTAGCGGTCCCGAGCGTACAGAACGGTATCCAGCATGCTTTCATAGAGGAGGAAGTATCCCATCCACTCGGAGATAATGATATCAACCGTGGGGAATGGGAGCTGAACCTCCTCCATCTTTCCCTGAAGAAGAGTAATCCTGTCTGAGAGGCCGTTGACCGCGACAATCTCGCGCGCCTTCTCGATGATCGAGGACATGTCCACGCCGATGACGTGCTTGGCGCCTGCCTTCGCGGCGAACCTTTGAGTCATAACATCAGTATGTGAAGCGTTGATTTATCGAGACATGTGAGACGTACATGCTCAGAATACCAGTACCACACCCGACATCGAGAACAACTTTGTCCTTGAAAATGTGGCGGTTCTGATAAATGGAATCGCGGTATGACCGAGTCCGGACATCGTCTTTCTGTGAAGAGATACTATCAGCACTAATATCAATTTGATTCCAGGCTGTATATGAACTTACAAGCATCTCCTCATGAATTCCTTAGCATGAATTTGTGTCAGCTTCGCATACTCTTCAACTTTATGTGGACAATAGGCAGAATTTACCATGGTGATCATAGCTGTGAACAAGTCAGACACGTAAGATCATACAAATCAACGGGGAAAATAGACTCATACCTGGTGAAGTAACGTACTTCGGCATGGTCCATGCCAACCATGCGATCAGCACTGCTGGTGATTACGGCCGAAGGGTCTGCAGATTGTTGTCTTTCAATACCTTCCATTTTGAAAAGAGAAATGCCGTTCGGTTGACAAGGGGGGGAAACAGACGAACAGAGAATGAAGCGAGGAGAAAAAAGGTGTAGAAGCAAACCAAGAGACCAAAGTCTGCTTTTGTGATGGGATGGGATGAGAGAAATAAAGTAAATGTTATCTCCAAACGACCCCTCAAGCTCGACTTTTTTTCCCTCTTACTTTTGCCTACAATAATAGAAATTCTCTTTCCGGAAAAACGCTAAACCTGATTAAGGTTAGTCTGAAATCTGTTGGCTAGACTTTTCTTGTAATACCCATGTGATTTCTTTAGCCCTCAGAAATCATATCTGATTAGGGTTGATATACAACACCTCGGCGTTTTGTCCGAACGCTGATGTATTATCAGGTCTCCTCCTTGTCAAAGAGGTATGTTGAAGAAAGAAGTATATAACTCTACCTGTCTACTTGTCTCTTCCCGAAATTTTGAAACAAACCTGTTATACAATTGGCACCAAGTACGCGGGGATATCCTACCCTCCTTTTCCAGAATCCAGTTCCTTGTAGATACCTACTCCGCAGATGGGAATTGCCAAGACTCATCTCCAATCCTCTGCCTTAACGCGTCAAACTCACAGCTCTCCCCTTAAAGCTTAGGGACTCCAGCTCTGCACTGCACTCCATGCACACCTAGCACTATGATTCTCCGCTCGGCCAAGCGTAAGCTTTGCTTATACTTTCTCACGTTTCTCATTGCTTCTCTAATAGGGAGGGCGACGGCTTCCTTGGGTGATCACCTACCTGATTTCAAAGAATGTGTCAAGGTATCGTTTCCCTCAATAACAACGCCTGGAAGTCTCAAAACAGCGAACTCATTGTCAAAAGATCTGTCAGGCTGAAAATTGTCGGGATGGCAATTCCGTCATTCGTATGTTAGCCAGTCTACTTCTGTTTCGTTCATGCTGATTGGTTCTCTTACAGCACTCCATCTGCGCCTTCTTTTATGGACCTGTCCAGCAGAGTGCGATTACACTTGTCAACATGTAGTAACGGACCGCCGGCTTGCCCGCGACCCTCCGATGTTGAATCCAGTGGTGCAATTTCATGGAAAATGGCCCTTTCGCAGGATTCTCGGCATGCAGGAACCCTTCTCTGTCCTTTTTTCCCTCCTCAATCTTCTCGCTCACTGGAATGGCATCGCTCGAATCAAAGAAACAATCCCAGCATGGCATTCTCTGCGGCCATATTACCTGACTTTCGGTTACTGCGGGTTGGCGTGCTGGACATTCAGCATGTTATTCCATACAAGGGATTTCCCTCTCACAGAAAAGTTAGACTATTTCGGAGCTGGCGCGAATGTGATGTACGGGTTATACCTTGCTACAATTAGGATACTGCGCCTTGACCAAGGAAAACCCCGGTACAAGCCGACTCTACGCCGTCTAACGACCATGATCTGCGTTCTTCTATACACCATGCACGTATGCTATCTCAGTTTTTGGTCATGGGATTACACATACAACATGATTGCAAATGTCGTGGTCGGAGCCATCCAAAATTTACTCTGGACAGGGTTCAGCATCGTCCGGTATCAGAAACAAGGCAGAGTCTGGATGGCCTGGCCTGGAATGATTGTGGTGTGGATTATGTTGGCCATGAGTCTCGAGTTGCAGGACTTTCCTCCTTGGCACGGGCTCATTGATGCTCACAGTTTGTGGCATCTTGGAACAGTCATTCCCACCGCATGGTGGTATATGTAAGTGCCCAGCAGATGACAATCCGCTCGTCAAAAGTAAGCCCGACTCTGATGCATCAATTCTTATAGGTATTTGATCAAAGACATCCAGAATGATGTCTCAAGCCGCAGACTGAAAGCATGATCTGGTAACGGAACCTCCTGATCACGGCAGTTGTACTGTGGATCCCCAGGAAAAATGACGTCTTTGCATAAGCCCGTCGTAAAATGCAAAATGTTTCATGTAGAGTTTTACAATAATCACAAAAAATCGAAACTTTTTCTTTTTCTTATTCCCCTTACTTTCTTTCACCCTCCTTTGCTTTAACCAAACTTTGAAGTTAGCAGTAGCCAGTCATAATCAGGTGTGGAGTAGAGTATGTTTGCTGTGAAACAGCGCCTACCACACTATTTCTTTTGGCTCACCGCTTGGGCGCTGTGGACAGCAAGGAAGAGCTAAGGTGGCCTAAGGCTGTCAGGCCAGTCCGTTTCCCTCGTGCAGGTTGCGACTGACAACTTTTTAATAGCTGGCTGGCCCTCTTCTTTGGTAACCCGTCTTTTCTAACTCCCCTTGTCCTGCTTTATCTCATCAAGGTTCAGCGACCCCTCGTCACTCCCGTTTCATCGGATTTAGGGGCTTCCCGACACGTCTTTGGCCAGGTTCCGCGCCGCAAACAATGGCGTCTCCAGCCGTTCGCAAAGCTATCTCAGAGGCCGCCTTGCAGTATGCAAAGCCAGAGGGCAAGATCTTCCAATACGGCACCGCGGGCGTATGTTGGACCTCTCGCAGCTATCTCTACGCTTGTAAAAGCTGACTTGAAATCTTTTGCTACAGTTCCGTATGAAAGCGTAAGTCTATTTTGTTTTCTCAGGAACAAAAACAACCCCGCCTCCACCGTACCCCACGATCGCCGTGTGGCAGCTCTAATGGACGGTTTATCGCAGTGACCTCCTCAACACGGTTGTTTATGCTGTAGGATTGCTTGCAACACTTCGCTCCAAGAAGTTAAGCGGA